GGGGGGGGGGGGGGGGGGGGGGGGTATTGTTATTTTTTACAGTATTTTATCCAATAGACCAGTGATAAATTTAACATGCGTGTGCGTACACTATCAGACGGATGGGAAGAAAAGCTTAAGAGCTTTTAAATTCTACAGCCAACACTGGTCTCACCTTCCCAACGTGTGAAACTTACCTGTACATATCAAAAATACCAAAGGTGAGCTTAGGGAAAAGACAGCGATACAAACTGTCACAAATAAGACGAGATATTCAGCTTTTGAATAAGATAACTGTAAGTTAGTGCTATATAAAGGTTGTGCGTGTATAAACAGTAGGATTGGTGATCTGATTAAGAAGACGTACAAACTAGAAACTACCTCAATCGTAAACATGTAATATTAATTACGGTGTAATTAAAGCGTTTTCTTGTTGTGAAGAATATATATACAATAAAACCTCGATATAATGACCCTGTTCCATCTGGCACCTCGCCTACCGCCAATCTATATGGATATGTTACGCATATCTTTCAATGTATCTTTTTCCTAAAAAATCCTTTGCATTTATCGGCAAACCATTTTATAATGACAAAAGGTTTTTAGACAAATGTCGGCAGTATAACGAGATGTCACTGTATACATTGACCTCAGCATACCAAATACTATATAAGTATTTGTATATATAATTGACACAGACTGTGATATCCTTATACGTTTGTCATCATGCGGAAGAAACTGACAAATAATTTACAAAAATAATAATATTGCTGTATAACTAGACAGCTTTAAGATAGTCTTGTAATCTTCAGTAACCGACGTTCCGTCTAAAATTTGTAATAGCTATGCTTTAAAATGCATACAGAAAACAATATCCATAATAAAAATGAATAAAGCAGAATCAGCTTACCTTTGGTCCACAGTACAGATGTCCTTACTAACTTAACTCTGATATATCATACTTGACGTCTCGCGCATCTCAGAGTTTGATAGTGTTGACTGTTGTACATTCATTGTTTACTGTCGTGAACAGCTACAGTTGACGGACTGGAGGAAATGTTTGTACTGGGCATGCGCAAAGGTAAAAAGCAGACGTCTCATCACTCAGGTGAGTACTTATTTATGTAACCCTGTATGTACGACAGCCGAAGCCTAGTTTCTGTATAACTCTAGCCCTTGCTTCGCTTGTCCTTATATTCCGTTATAAATATTTGTATAAAATGTTTTAAGACTTTTTTTTCCCAATGTAACAGTATTTCTTTACATAAAATACATGGATCACCTTGACACTTCTGACGTCATCTGCATAGAATGTGTGCTACAAAAACCGAAGAAAGGGTTCTGAATTCAAATAAAAATCAAATTATTTGTCAATACCTTGCATCTGATGTATCACGTTCTTTTCCTCACAGCGATTTTATGCAGTTTAGTGAATGCACATTTCCCCACATACTGAAGTTTGCATTTAAATATCTTATAGTTAAGTTTGTTTTCTGTGTTACGTCATATGAGAACCATCTCCAAGGTTTCCGAGTTTACTCAGACTCATTTTGACGGCTGTGTTGTAATAACGGAACATGGCTATCAAGTTTGCAAAAATGATTGACCTTGATTGACTTTCAAGGTCATATATGTGAAAACATTCAAACCACTTTTTCTGAATAGTCATGTAGTATAAGAGTTGGTTTAGTTAGAAAAAATCTGGCTCATGTCCCTTTCGCCTAATCTACTATACATATTTATAAATAAGTATGAGTGATGTTTCCTAATACACTATAAGGCACGGCTAGGCACGTATCACTAAGTTAGAAGATTTTGGAGAGGATACGCTCAATTTCCCTTGTAATAAGGGATTACAGGTTCTTCCCTCTGAGATTTGAAAAATAAACAGAAGCTCTATGGTGAATTATCAAGATTAAATTTGCAGTGAAATAAAATTGTATATGTACATTGCATTCTTATTCACGTTTCACCGCTTGTTTGTTGTCCGGTAATACATCGTTCAACTGACACTACAAAGAAATGTTACCGTGATCCATCACATTGAGTTGTTGTATTGTAAGATTTATAACAAATATGTAAAGCATATCGCACGACCTTGCCTGTATGGGATCCCTTAAGAGTGTGTGTTTTATGTTCATCTTCCAAGATGCAAGGTGGTAGACTCTGCTGGTGGATTTCTTAATCACCGAGGTTTGTCATAACCTTGAGGGCCACTGTTATCTCTCTTGAGAAGTGGCATGGTTCATAATGTGCGAACTTTACATGTTATTCAAATTAAAAATAAACAATGCTCCTCTGGATTTTTGTCTCGCCACAACGGAGCAGCGGAAGCGGAACTAAGCTTTTGCTTTTCCGCCGACAGCGGCGGCGGCGGCGGCGTCAACATGAAGTTTTTTGCGTTTAACTTAGTTTCACTGAAAGTATAAGTACTAGACCAACCAGACTTGGACCATAGATGTATTTTAGGTAGTTCATATCCACCCATGCTTCAAATGCTGGATGCTGCCTACCTTTCATGGCCCATTGACTTTGTCAGCATCTCCATCAACATTAAGTTCTTGCGTTGAAGTTAGTTTCCTAGACATGTGCATTGATGATCAAAGCGGGTCGAAGACGAGACATATCTATCCGAATGGCTTGTTAAATTCATAACTAAAGAATTTTACGCACCCGCCCTTCTGTTTCAACAGTAGTTTAGAAAAACTTTGATTTCCAACTCCTTGTATCACCGAACAGAACTGAAATTGCAACTTGAGATTTAGCTGCGCAGTTACAATGTTGGCATACTTTGTTATTCATAGCAAGATTAAGTTTTGAAAGAAAACGTTATTAAGATTTCATCATAGTTTTTATTGATTCAATATTTTCTACAAGAAAACCCCCAATGTTAAGTATCAGCCAAGGATACTGAGAATTCCTCCCGGCTTGTTTGCTGAGGACGCTGGTACGTGGCTACCGTTCTGCGATTTACAATTACCTTCACCGATCGTGAACGTGCTTAGAAAACCCTCTCTAGGGGCACACGTCAGCCCGTTGGCGCAACCACAGATCCCGAAAACAGACTTCCCACATGTCTGGTCCAGCGTCGAGAGGTCCGTGCATTGACCTGTATACAAAGTTGAACAGTAACGATAGCATTTATCTCAACTGATTCCTCGAATTTTTCAGCAGAAGAAATCTACGCAATATTAAATGTCAGACACATAAATACCGCGAATATGTTGTATTTCAATCTTGATGCACCAGGGGTTACGCTTACTTTCGCTCTCTGCACACCTGGAATATGTCTGAGTAAAATTGAAGGCACGCGACTAGCTATTTCTATGGTCTCATGTTTAAACCATGACCAATCACTAGGCTGATACATGTCCTTTGAAGATTACAGAGGAGCGACACTCGTCTTCAAGGCCAGTCAATTTTACCGTGACGCGACCGACAGATTCCATTCGTGTACATTAAAGGATCAAACTAGACTTCTCGCCTCATCCACAAGGGGGCGGGCGCACAATGAAACTCTGATTTTGATATGACATATTCCAGGAATGCAGTGAGCGAAAGTGAGCGTAACCCCTGGTGTGACAGGTATGGTTGTAATTAGGATAAAGAATATATTAAACCTATCGACTATTAAAGGTTTTTCCCGGGAAGGAACAAAGTTAACGTAAACTAATATTAATCTTGGAGATCAAAGGGTATCGCTCTTGATACACACATATTCTCTGCACCCCGACCCTGGAATATGTCATGACAGAATTGAGGGTAATTGTAGAATGATGCAAGAAGATAAATAGAATGTCTTTAATCAATATGAAAGGAATCGCGCGACAGCGTAACGGTACAATCGACAGGCTTTGAAGTGGGGTGTAGCGCATGCGAAGTTGTAAGTGACAAGTATCAGTCCTGCGATTTGTCAGGTTTTATAACTAAAACCAATCAAATGGCTCAGCGCGAGCCTTCGATTTTGGTATAACAAGGGTGCAGAGATAATTTGTGTATTAAGAATGAAACCCTTAGATTAAAATGATTGGACAAATACGTATTAAAGCGATTCTAATGACTAGATGTATTATGACGAAATAAAAACTGACCAAGTTATGATTGTTGAATATATATGGCTTTAACATATCTCAATAAAGTAACCTGGATATGCAAAGTTATCAAACTTGATCTTGATATTAAAAAATAGCCATAAAATAAAAACATAATCAATTATAAATTTGGTTAAGGATTCCTGTGCCACTGTAGGCAAAAACTATAGAACTCCTCTGTGGATTTTTGTTTATATAGTTACATCCGCTTATTTTCGTTTTTAATATAGATGCAGCGTAATTGGGCCAAGACAGCTCACCAGGTAACTCAGTCGGTAAGAGCGATAGTTTAATAATAGGAGCTCCAAAGGTGGAACCATTTTTTCATGAAAGTCCCAAAGCTCTTTTCTTTTCAGAAATTATTAATCACAGCAATACCTTTACAAATAACAAAAAAAAAAACAACCCAGTTTCAACGCATCTTATTGTTTACGTGATACTTAATTAATTTTAATTTTAAATTCTCATTTCATTTATGAGGTGGTGCTTACATATTTGTTAGTCAGTAATCAATATGACTTACCTACTACGTAAAGTGTGAAGGCACAGCACTGCCCGTACGGGCACTGGTAGTCATGACTACAGCTCAGCACCTGTATTTAAACATAACAAGATATGAATTTATAACGTAACAAAGGATCCCATAGTCACAAGTATTTCTTCCTTGAAGTCAGAACACTTTTGAAAGGATTTTTGTCCTTTTGAGCTTAAGTACAACAGCTGAATCTTAATAAAACAAAGTGGTCATATTTCTTGACATTTTCTTCAGGTTGGTAAGTATGGATTGTGAAAAGATTCATGTAACACAACAAACAAGTGTTTATATGTGACGTTTCGATGACTAGTACGGTATGTACTATGTCACCTTCATCAGACAAATGACCAGTGAAGCGCATCTTCACAAAGGTGTACCGGAATCGAGTTATTACGGTACATATATAACAACTAATTGTACATACGCTTACAGCGCGTTGAATCGAAATCCGTATTTTTTAAAATATATATCAGTAAAAAGATAATTACAACACATTAAGTAAACCTAACGCATTATTACTACAACTTCAGCGCCTACATGTTAAGTATAACAACTACAGCAGTTTTATGAAAACCAAATATAAAAAATACTCTAAAGAGATTAGACCTGCACCTCCATGTAAGATGCGCATCGGAATGACTGCTTTTCTCAAAGCTAAAATTGTATTTCAACTTTCAATAATAATAACTGCTACGTACTGTCTCGCTATCCAATTGGTCTGATCCTATACATATGACCGGTTTTCAAAAAATCATGATGCCCGATTTTTCAGTGAAAATCAATATATAAATATCGAGTTTAGGTGAATCCCTTACGCTTTGACCGTTAATGAACAATAAACAGTTGTTTGATAAATAAACATTAAAATATTTTCTCTTTTTGTTGTGAACTATTTTGTTCCTTAGGATGTACGATTTGAAATATGCAATACAACATGGTAGTTTGCTAAACATAGTTTTTTTTATTAACAATAATTACCATAAAAAGGCTATAACAGTATGAACAAGATATTCAGTCATTGAGAGTTGTCCCCCTTAGCACGCATGTTTTCATTTTCCTCACTTATATTACAATACGGAAAATTACAGCTATAACCAACGAAAGCAATTCAGTGGCGGATCCAGAGGTTTTTTTTTGGGCTTCAGGAAACCCCCCAGCCTTAGAAGTTTCTTTAAAAATCATGCGTTTTCACCATTTTCCTCAATTTTGCCCCACCTGGAACCCCCCC